ACCCCCCCCCCCCCCCCCCCCCCCCCCCCCCCTCCTCTTCACCTCTGCATCACGCCGCTTCAACCAAACCGCCCTCACATGCGCCGGACAATTACCAAACCCACCTCGGCCACCATTAAGAGACGCCCCGAAATCTCTGCTAAAGCTATTTCAACAAAAACTCGGCTCGGCCAGCGTCATACACAATTTGCTGCTGACGGCACCGAGGGCTGCCCACGGCGGATGGCAGCAGTTTGGATGTGGCAGATGAAAAAGGCGAGGGACTGGACTCAATGGATTTAAGTTCTAAGTGGCGGAGATCTTTTGTCGGTTGGCTAGGTCACGTATATTTGGATGGGAGTGATGAATGGAAAGGATGAGGAAGTGTGCTGCATTTTTTTACTGCAGATACCTAGGGGAGGGGAAGGGGGAATATCGCTTGCTTTTATAGTGATCTTACAATGGTGATAGAGAAGAGCCTAGATGTTGTTTTGGAGAGAGAATTTGGGGAGAGAATAGAATAAATAGCAACGCGCACAGACTAGCCGGTGCGTTCATGCGTTTTGTGCAATTCAGCCCATCGAACGATTGCCTGTTAATATTCACTGCTTTGTACTTTAGTCTATGCAAAAATAGTTCAAACATTGAAAAATAGTTAAAAATTTCATGCACCAGTTCACTGCTTTGTGCTTTAGTCTATGCAAAAATAGTTCAAACATTGGAAAACAGTTAAAAATTTCAACAGACTAGCCGGTGCGATAATGCGTTTTGTGCAATTCGGCCCATCGAACGATTGCCTATTAATGATTTTCATGCTTTGTACTTTAGTCTATGCAAAAATAGTTCAAACATTGGAAAATAGTTAAAAATTTCACACACCAGTGCTTTGTTCTTTAGTCTATGCAAAAATAGTTCAAACATTGGAAAACAGTTAAAAATTTCACGCACTCTTTTACCTTGTCTATGCAAAAATAGTTCAAACATTGGAAAACAGTTAAAAATTTCACGCACCAGCGTATGAAAGCTAAATAGCAAAATAGTTCAAACATTGGAAAACAGTTAAAAATTTCACGCACCAGCGCATGAAAGCTGAATTCGAAACTTCGAACGACGAATATCTTTCCGTGTTTCCCGAGTTAACAGTTTACCCGCCAAAATTTTCACGAGGCCGTAGGTGGTACCCGAGAGCGCGAG